GCTGCGGGAGACTCGGTCGCAAGCAATGTCTCTTGACCATCAAAGGTGGGAGGCGAGCACTGGAGATTTCGCATAGCGCCCTCGACGTCTCTGCTAACAAAGCGGCCTTGACGGAGGTTCTCTGCGAAGAGGAAGAAACCTTCCGCGGCTTCGACGAGGTACGATTGTAGTCCCTTGCTCTCCAGCCGGATGATGGCGTTGGAAACAGGGTAGTGGTTCTCAATAAATCGGGCCCAGCCACGCGCCGCGGCTTGGATGTGTTGGTCTTCGCTGATGCGTCTCCAGCCAATGCCGAGGTGAAGGGTGAATTGGTCGACGATTGGTTGCGCAGAGCTCTCTGATGAAAGAGTTGTGGATGTGGACGCCGTAGCTGGCTGAGCTGCATGGAGATTTGGCATGACGGCCTGGGTAAGGCGTTGGGATTTGTTGCTGCGTAGAGATGGGCGTTCCTGCTGCTCGTGGAGACGTGTGATGGCCTCTTGTGTTTTGCGAGCGTCATCTTGCGCAGCCTTCTCTTCGACCCAGGTGCCAGATTGACTGCCAGCATCCGCGACGTAGCTACCCTTCTTGATGAGAACCATACCAGGGCCGTACTCCCACTCTTCTTCAGGTTCTTTGGGTGCGGTATGGTGTTCGGGCTCGTCGGTCACCAGGTTGGGGGCAGCCTCGTCGCGCGAACGTTTTCGACCAGCGACTCGAAGGCTTCCGGCGGGCATTGCCGGCGGTGCAGGGCAGCGTTGGAAGGCGGCGGGCTGGCCAAAGGGTGTGGCTTGGGGAGAGAATGGGTCCATGCTAAAGCTCGCTTGATGGGCGGGCTGAGGAGGAAGAGCCATGACGGGGGAGCCAGCGGAGAAGGAGTGACCGAAAGGAGACATGGCTGTATAGTTAGATCTGCGCAAGGTAAGTTCAGACTTCAGATTCAAGTAACTCTTTTACGAATCACGATGTGTTAGTAGTTGAGCAAGACGTTGGTCGGGAAGTCCAGTGGCTAGATGGACGTGGTGTCTGGTAGAGTTTGAGGACAGTCGTTTGGCGAGGCGGTTGTAAAGGTGAACAAGATGGCGACGACTGGGTGGTGATGGAAAGTGAATGGTGATTGGTAGGTTGAGATGGCTAGACCCGAGTGATGGTGGGTTGGGGCAGGTTGGTTGAAAGGAGGAAGGAGCTGTTCAGGACCAGATGGGAGACTGAGCAGTTAATGGAAGAGTGTGAAGGCGTCTGACGAGATGGCAGGAAGCAGACATGTAAGAGTTCAGGGTGGTATGTGTAGCAGGAAGGAAGTTGAGGTTGTCCCAGAGACAAAGACTAGACGAGCTGCGGCAGGAGAGTGGATGAACTGTGGTAAGGAAGAGGGAGGGAAGGCGCCGCCAGTAGGAGGTGGGCGAGAGAAGAAGGAGCTATCCTTTTGTATCCTACAAGGTCAATTGAGAAACGGAAGGAAAACGCGAGCAACGGGTAAGAGGCAGGAAAGGGCCGACGAAAAGGTTTGGACCTGGAGGGTTGGATGCGTGGTAGACAAGGGAATGCCGCCTTCCATTTGCGAGCCGTCCTACCCCCGGTACCCCGGTCTCACCTCAGGAAGTGTCGTTGCGCTACGGAGAGACGCTCAGCTTTCAAAGTGCACCTCAGTCTGTACGAAGTGGGTACGTACCAGTCGAGCCAAGGAGGGAAAGCACAGCTTCAGGATGGCAAGTGAGTTTGGGCGTATCACAGATCATCTTGAGCACGGGCGCACCTTCTTAGTCCGTCTGAGAAGAGACTTCCATAATGCATGGAGAACACGGGCAAAGGTCGGTACTCTGGTCTCCACCCATCAGCCCAGTTCTCCCCATAGAGTTAGCATCAGTCAGTCACCTTTGTATCAGCAAACGAGGCACGCGAGGCAAACTTATACCTTGCCCCCAACGCGTCCATGCCGAATCAGGGCTAGCTAGGACGCATGCTTGCCCGCAGTTGCTACAGCTGCAGCCCATCGTCGCATTGCACGCCTCGCTACGATAGATCCAGGGGCTTTGCGACTACCCACACTAAGTACATGATGGGCCCCCGTTTTCCGAATATTCGCTTGCCCACGACCTCGATAGTTAAACAGTGAGACTGCTTCCTTGACTACAGGTAGGTCATTGGTGGGGCACCAAGTCACGGGTGTCTTCCATCTGCATTTCATCCAGTTGACCGTTGATCTCTGTAGCTTAGACGCAAGTATTCTCGTAGTATGTGGTCGTTTGTCAAAGTAGATGGGGACGGGCGAGTACACCTGGCAGTTGAACGCGTTGAGACTCATCAGAGCCAGCCATTGTAGTTAGTAGGTTGGTCTCGTGAACGACAGCTTCGTCCCGTGCCTCGCCGGGGATGATTCCTGCTAGTCGGATGCCGAGTGACCTCTTTCTCGCGATGGCTGTTCGCAATGCACTTGTACCTCGGTGAGGACTTGGCAACTTCCTGCAGTCTCTGAGCGATGCCTTCCCTCCAACTTGCCGCTGCGAGCCCGGCTGCTGCCAATGGAGGAGACATACATCGCGCTGAATTGAAATAATGCACTCTTCAAAACGAACTTCAGAAAGTTTGTCGGGCTACACTAGCGCCAATGACGACTCCATCTGAAGATTAACAATGATGCGCCTGGATCCTACCGTCATTCGCATAACTCTCTCGGAGGTCAAGCAATACGAACGTCAACGCAAGGCACAAGACCGCGGCGGTCGAGGTAACGATGCCCATTCGAGTCGACAGGCACCTACGAGTGGCCTGCTACATGACCCGCTGCGACTCCGTTTCGTGCCAGACGGTATTTTACCCGGCCAAGAGAGTATCGAGATACATAACAGTCCAACCGCCTTTGACCATCACGGTGACGATGAGGATGGTAAAACCATTGTTGATGATAGCGAAAAGATAGACACGTCCTCTATTGACAACGAAGATGAAGGAGAAGAAGACGGAAACGAGTCGATGGGAGATACTCACGAGGACCGGTTACCGGGCCTAAAAATGCCGAGGCTACCGCTACCTCTGCCCTTCTCCGCGACAGCGAGAGTAACAACAGCAACGAACCACCCTGGAAATGTATGTTGTTGCTCCTGAGAATAGCACCACCCAGCGGTTACGCTGACTTCGACCATCTGACAGATCGTTCGGCTGCCAAGGGGCTTGCGACATGGTGAACCAAGACGCATTGCACATTTGTCACCAGAGGCGCCGTCAACCCGGGCAGCTGCTGTCATCTCCCGACATAACGACCTATCAACGAGACAGACTTTGCGACAAATCACACTCCACGATAACGATGCAGCGGACACATGGCCGTCGCATACTCCAGGTGACTCGACCGAAGCTCAGCAGCTTGGTCGGCTGCAGCTACCTTTTCTGCCGAGTATATCTAGTCCGTCCTCAAGATCACCTCGACTTGGTGAGAGAGCAAACATCACCGCTAGAGGGATTCCTCCCGAAGCCATCCGAAGACTCGGCGTCACGGTGGACTCGGAAGAAACAGGCGAACAAGGAATGAGCATGTGGCGTCTAGTAGCACCTGCCCAGCATGAACAAGACGAGGTACAGAACTTGGAATACCAATAGAAGGCGAGGCGACGGGAGCAGAAGCTCGTTGAAGAACCACTCCGGGCCCCCTATCAGACTTGCATTGATAAGTAATCCATATCGGCAGTGACTACTTCACGGGGCAACCCGGCTACTTGGGCGAAGAAAGGTTGACCAACACCGCAGAGAGAAGAGGGTGTTCTGCGATGAGCTAGCTGTACAGGACGGCGTTCGCAGTACAAGTACATTAGCTGGAGCGACTGCTCAAACATAATAGACATGAGACATTGTGAGACTCTTCAGATCGTCCCAGTCAGTGAGGGTCGCAGACTCTGGAATGTGCTTGTTAGACTTTGGCCGATCTTGGACTTCTGGAGACCTTCCATCATTCCACGAGATACCGTGGTGATGCTGATAATCTCTCTTGGTTTCTCGACAGCTGTAATCATCTTCCAGAGCCATAGACCTAAGCCAATTTTTCAGTTGGCCTAGAGTGAGCAGTGAGTCTCTAGCAAAGCCACACCACCAAGCCTGACGCGCCACATTTGCGATTGACGATGAAGAAAGGGGGTGGTCATGGCCGAGTGGGCTGGCCGACACACTTCTCTCAGTAGTCATTGCTCACTACCAAATGGTTATAAGCCACATTGGATGGGCACAACAGCAGCCAGATCGGCATAGAGAACTGCTTGGTTTCTAGATGTTGATGGAACAAGAGGTTGAGTTCCTTACAAGCTGTAAAGAAAGGATTCACTCAAACTGCGCAGGAAGTAGGCCTTCCATGCAGCACAGTAGAACTAGATGTAATTTACCCATGGGAGGTCCACTTGTTTTTTCCGCGGGAGCCGACAAGAAGATGCGTATTGTTCAAGCAGTCTTCATCCACTAAGCCAGGCGAGATCAAGGCCCAATCACAAAATCACACAAAGCCGAGGCAAAGGATTGTTGTTGGTTCATGATGTTATTGCACATCTAACAAATACAGTCATCGCCTCGTCTCAGTCATCCCAAATGCCTATGCCGACATGCTCCCAGTGAGTTTCCGCCACATCTTCTGGGGCCCTGCGCAACCAATGCTTTTTGCTTCCCTAGTTTGCCTTGTGATGAAAATGAACAAACCGAAAAATGAATTAACCAAAACAAAATCGACCGCTGCCCGCCAAAGCTCCTCGCAATGCTTCATGAAATTTTCCAAGCCGAGCAATATAAATGCCACAAAAACTCCACTTCAAAATGTCCTGAACCTATGTCTATCATTCCTCTTTTGCTTCCCCAATAATGCATGTTGAATAGTGTTCTCCTGCCAGGTAGATTTGTAATTTGATGCCAGAATACAAAGTCGAAGTGGGAATGTTGGGCAAACGCCGAGAAGGGTGGAGAGAAAATTGGTATCATGGCTTTGCTTCAAGCACTTAGAAAAAAAAAAAACCAGAAGTACGAAATTGAAAAAGGGAAGTGACAGGCTAGCTGGAGGTGCTGCTAGCTCTGCACACCTCAATGTTGATATCTTTGGGTGAACCTGCCATGCTGAAGACTCGGTGCAAGAGGCTACGCTTCGTCATGCTCGTCCGTCGGTATTGGTAATCATCGTCGCAAGAGCACGGTAAAATCGGGCTGCTTTGCTGGCTTTGCCGCTCAAGCTCAGCATCCCACCCATAGAGATCCTCATCGGGTGCGGCATGGCAATACGATGCAGGCTCGTCGTTAGCCATTGCAACGGCCTCATCCTCTGGTGGAGGATGAACGTTGATGCCCAGCAGGTTCGAAAAGTCCGTGAACCGACAATCGATTGGCGGAGATACGGGTAGAGGCAGCTGGCTTGCATCGACTTCCTTGGTAGTGAGCTCGTCGCAAACATCTCTGTCTGTCGGTTCGCCAGAATCTTCTGGCACGGCAGGAGGAGTGATTCCCATGTTTTGAACAGAAATGGGCTTCAACTTGGCGTCTTCGGATATCTCCGTGGTGATCCTCAAGGGAGCGGGAGTGTTGGTTCGCGACCGAACTCGAATAGGGCGTCGTACCATCCAGGGCCGTGGGTTGTGGTAAGCGCTAAATTCCTTTGCGGCCATGCCACCTTTGCATCCACCGTTATTGATGTGTTGTGGACCAGCAAAAGCAACCTTCTTAATTTCACTGCCGGCCTCTGACGCCGCGAGAGGTAGTCGTTTGCCTGGATGAGGCTCCTCCCACGGGTTGAAAAGGTGACGGACACGTGAGAAGCCGTCCAGAGGGAGGTGAGAAGATGATGTCGCTGGTGTGGTGGATGTAGTTGATGGCATGACCTCTGGTTCCTATAAAGGGTTGCTCTGGCTGCCTTCAGCCATGGTGACGTCCCCATCAGTGATTGGGGCCGATGATGTCGGGTTGTTTCGTCGGTTAGAGCGTGACTTGCGATGGAGACCCAACTTGGCGCCAACCTTCTTCCACCCGTTATTGTGTGCGGTCAATGCCCGTTGAAGTCCACCTGGGGAGGTACTGAATGTCCAGTCTGAAGTTGGCGGAGTAGTGGGAGGAGTCATTGGCTCTGTGCCAGGAGAAACAGCGCTTCCACTATCATCTGTCAATCCCTCGCGTTCAGCGTGTTCGCCAGACGCAGAAGCCGATCGACTTGTGGCACCACTGCGACCCAAAGTCAGCTGGGGTAGGAACTTGGGAGACTTCACGGGCTCTTCTGACCTAGCCCCAGCACCCTCGGCCCGAAGGCGCAGGCGACCAGGTCGGCCTTCGTCCTCCGCCGTACGGCAATCGCCATGGCCCGGTTGGACCGACTCGATGAAGGGAACAAGTACAGAATCGTTCATGAGCTCGTAGACGATTCTGACGGCGTCGTCGAGTTCACTTGGAGGAGGTGGGGCGGAGGAGCAGTCCAGGTTCGTAAGATGATTCCGCACGGGCGAAGGAAGATTAACCTCGCGCGGCGCGTATGGAATGATGTATGCTTGCATGAGCTTCTCCCACAATGAGCAGACATGCTCTTTACCATCGCCGATCCATTCCTGGTTGGTGATGATCTGCTCGTATGCCTTGCGATATCTGTCGGCGTCCATAGTGAATTCTAGGGTCTCCAGACAGTGGTTCTGAGAGAGGTATGCCATGAATGCTGCTAGTGTCCATGGCGGCATAGAGGTGTTCGAGAGGATCTCCGAGAGAGTGGGTGGTGTTAAGATGACGGCGCCGGGCATCAAGGCCCCGCTCGTGGGTCTCGACCTCGACATGATCGTGGTGTATTCCCAGTCCAGGACAGCTGAAGCCGGACTGGGTGGTGACAGTTCCCTCTCGGGTGAAGGTGAAGGACTCAGGTAGATGGGGGAGTGCTGTCTTATCCTGGACCTTTTCATTTCCACGCCAAGTTATCTTGTGCAGAAAATATTGGAGTTGCCAAAAGCCGCTGATCAAAAAGACAGCAGTGGACTGGTGTTGCAGGGTAGTCTTGGGCGCCTAAAATTGCATCGATGACCCCATAGAAGGCGATGGTTGTCGTAACAAACTACAGTGAGTGCAGCCTTTCTTCGGTTGAGACGAATTCGGGTCGTCTTCCACGGAATGTTTCCCTCGGCGGATAGTCTCGATGAAGTGACCAAATCCTACTTTTTGTTGCACAAGTGGATACAGCAAGTTGAGTCGCGCTAAACGTTGATCGACTAAAGATTATCGATGTGGTGTAATATGCTTGTTGTCGTGGTGTTGAGTCGAAAAGAGCGAGCACAGCTTAGATCGTAGAGAGCTGTTGGTGCTGAAAAGGACGGGGCCCACGGGAGGTATATAGCCCAGAGCGTTGTAGATAAGCGCGCTATGTTCAGGCGGACTTTGGGAGGAGGCTTGCACTAAGACAAGATTGGAGACGCTAGAAGTGTCTTGGTGACGGGAATGGAATTGACTCGTCGCAATCGGCAATGAGTGTGCAAGATGCTGCTTGCAGAATGTCGCAGACGACAGTCAGTTAACAGTAAGAGTGCAGCGAAGCTCCAAGGTAAACCAGTGGTAGTGTGTTCTGAGAGATGTATGCGGAATGCAATCAAGCCACACGTTCGACGGTTATCCAATACGGTCGAGTGTACGATGCGGTACAAACGGGTTCCTTTGGCTGGTGGCTTCGAAGACTGGCGACGTGACGTCTTTACAGAGTCGAATTCGGGAGGGGAATGCTGATCGAAGGAAACAAACGGTATGAGGCGTGGTTTGGTGGTCGAATTCGTCGCTACTGTGGACGGTCTCTCGAAGTTGGTAGGTAGGTATTTGGTAGAACAAGGAAACTAGCTATGAGAGAACGTGGTGGCGAGCTGGTGACCCGTGTCGGAATAGTGGTTGTATTGTGTTGTGTGGTGAACACGAGGAATGAAGTCGGCGACGATGTTCGTACGGCGGCAGGCGATTGATGTCGTGGGCCGATATGGGTCTCTCTTTGATTTGGTGGGGATATCAGGCGAATGTGACGGGTGGTGTCGAGGAAGGGATTCGCAGTGGATCGTGAGAGAGTGGAAGAAGTAGGAAGCAGGCGAAGAAGGAAAATGGAACTAGTGAGAATGTCTGTCTTGTGAGAATTGGGAGTGTTTGAGAAGGAGAGGAAAGGTGAAGCATTAACGGTAGGATTGAAGGGGATGGGTAGGAGGAGAGGACATGAGATAGCTAAAAGCGTCCGGTATCCATCCAGTCAGAACAAGTACATGGGGCAAGTATCTTTTGGACGGCGGCCGTACCGTATCATGCCTATGGTAGGCGAGGAGGCGAGGCAAGGAATGGTAGAGTAAGGTCAGGATAGGTAGGTACGGGGCCCGCAAGAGGGAATGCTCCGCACTGGATTAGCGCGCCGGGGGCCATGTGCCTCAAGTACCAAAAGTCGTGGGTTGCGAGCAGTATCCGTACGTACTTGGACCACAATGCTCCTACTAAACATAACCCAACGAGGCGTGTCCGCGGGTAGCAGTACCTTCACCCCGAAGGTCCTCAGTATCCACCGAGCCACACCTCAGCGAGAAGAAGGGTGAGCGTCTGCGCACCTCAAATCAGATCCATCCTTCCATCACCATGCTGCCCGGGGCCCAGGGCCTTTCCCCCCATCCACCAGGCCAGTACCAGGAGGGTCCCAGTCCACACATTCGCTCTTGCCTGTTGAAGGGAGACCCGGACGAGGCGCTGGACGGGGCAAAGGCCCCAGAATGCGTGTGGGCTCTGAGGCAGGGGAGGCCTGTCAGCGGAAGGGGAGTTTGCCAGGGTGTGGGAACAAGTCTCATTGCGATATGGGTGGTACGCAGCAAAAGACCACGAACAAGGTATCGGAGACAGCGAAAGTGCGCAGAAGTAGTACTTGACCAAGGCCATTCAATCGGGTATCACCGCCGAAGGGAAGGGAAAAAAAAAAGCACCGACCAACCCTGTACGGAAATGCCTATGGCCCAGTGAACAGTACTTCGTACGCTGTGTGCTTGCAGGGTTCATTGGGCAAAGGAGACAAGACGAGGCAGGAGGCACATCATTGCCCGGAAAGAGAAGGCCAGAAGACAACCGGTGACCAATGGAAGCCAAGCGATGGAATATGCGTAATGCGTTGCTTCTATACTTCCATGTCGCTTCTACTGCGTAGGCCATTCTTCAATAGTACTCCGTAAACAGCGAACAAGCTTCAATGTTCACGCGATACCTATACAATCGTGACATGGCCAGAGAGGTTTGGATATTTCACAGATACAGCTACACAAAGACACGCTGAAGCTACACCAGTCACCAACACCGCGGGCGGGTACCGGTGGAGGCATGCGGTGACTGAAAGCCTGGAAGTGACGCGTTGCTCTTGCGACGACACGGTGGCACAGAGGCGGGGAGTCTTTGCTGCGGTTGGGCTGTAGCCTGCGGTAACGTGGTTGCGTGTGAGGACCCTCAAGCTCTCTAGTAATACCTAGAGTACGGAGTATCTGTAGAGGTAGAGAGTCCAGCACTCCAAATGGAACCTCAGCCTGCCAGACGGGACTTTCGGCTTGCTAAGGAAGCCGAGTACCCTCCTGAGACTGGAGTCGAGGCAGGCCAGAAGAACCAGAGCATCCTATCGTAGCCGAGAGACGATGGGTTAAGGAACTTGAGTGGTCTTCTTTGCCCCGTTCCTTCTGTGGAGTCGTATTGTCGAAAAGGGGGGTTCGGTATTATGGTCACAGTGGCCTTAGCCCCCCCCCCCCCCGGTTCTCCCTTTCTCTTTCGTTTTCTTTCTGTTCTTCTTGTTGTTGTTGTTAGGGGCTTCAGCTTGGAGGGTACGGAAGGCTGGCTTAGCAACCAACAAGGTGTGGGAAGGTCACAGTCTGAGCAACAATTGGAAAGTGACCTTGACCTGACAAGATTGATGCACAACAGCGGCAGAAGAAAGGCGGGAAGACGAAATGGAAGACGGATGGAAGACGGGATGGAAAGGAGACGGAAGGGAGGGGAGTTGGGATACAGCCGTAGTGAAGGAAAAGGGGTGGGACAAGCCGTGATCAACTGAGCCCAGCCAGATTGGTGTGAGTGGGGCCTCTCAGCACTAGACTGCGCTAGAAGGCTTCGAAAGAGGGTCCGAGTGATCCAATGATGGCGCTGCATGGGCCGATTATGCCCATTTAGGGAAAGTCGGTGGAAAACAACAGACACCCAAATGGAAGGCATGTGGAACAATTCGATCAAGGGAAGGCAACAGGGGTCATTCTTAGGTAAGCGAATAATGGTCTATACTCTACATAGTACGTGCCTATCTTACCTGCCCAGAGAGGAGCTGATAGGCAATAGGCTGGGCTGGCCCTGACTGAACGGGATGAGAGTGAGGGATCGAAAGGAGCGGGTCGCGGGATTACGGTGGTCTAGGCTAGGTCTTTTTTTCTCTTCTCCCCGTCGTAACTTCTACCGCTTTACAGTTTTCCATCCCCCTTTTTTTTTTTTTTTTTTTGTGATCGCAGCACATGGTATTTCACGCAAAGCGTATGGAGTATTCGTACGGGGAACCCGTATCTCTTCTTTGCAAAAAAACTCTCGCAACGGTAGCCTCGGCCATTTTGCGTTTGCTCTCTGGGCCTGGACCACCAAGACATGGCCGTTCGGCTTCATAATTTTGGTTCCATTGCCCGTTTTCTACGGAGCACGGAGCCAAGAACTGGGGGTTACGTCGGCTTCGCCTATCCCTCAACCGCAGTCTCAGTCTGTACTTGTATGTAGGTCTCCCGAGTGGCCCCCGGTCATCTCGCCATTTCGCGCTTATTCCCTCGTCCATCGACTCCATTGGCCTTGCGGAAAAAATGAAGCAGACCAGACCCGTCACCGTCAT